AGAGTATGGACTTTCTTCACTCATGTGGCTAGACGATGGCGGAGGGGGGGGGGGGGGGTATAAAGAAGATGGGAAAGTGTGAATACAAGAGCACACGAAGTTGTTTTTATTTGACTTTTTTTCAGGCTTGGGGGGAGGGGTGGCTTCTTCTTATTTTTATAGAAATGCGGGCAAACGAGCATGCGGCTCACCTGATGGAAAGTGTCGAAAACAAAACAACTGCAATACTGGTGCGTTGTCGGCCTTTTAGAAAGAAACAATCTCATTTCTCGAAGGTCCGTAAGTCGTATCGGTCCGGAAATTCGCTGGTGGTAACCGATTACACAAAGAAGGCATGTTGTTTTTTACACGTTGTAGAGCCACGCTGTAGCTATATTATAGTTGTAGCACGAATGGGTCGACTCGACCGGGGAAAGACCACGCTCTCACAGAATACCAACGTAAAATAGCAACTTAATGCCGCTGTGTTTCGTATGGTGAGTGTGGAGAACCGGATACCTTTTTCACTGGAACCGAGGCATTCCATCTTAGCTCTCAGGGGTGACAACGCATCTGCATTTTGATTCTTTATAGAGGATAAAATATAGATGTCTATGGGTCAAATTATCCACTTTCCATCAAGTGGACTATGTGCTTGTTTGTCACCCTTATTCTATACTAGCTGATACCCGCGACTTCGTCCGCATTGCTTGATATAATAACAAAGTTTTCGTATGTGCGAAGGAAAAAAAAAACAAGGAGATCGCAAGCAAAAATACTATAAAAATACTATATACTTTGCTTACAAATTTCGTTGTAAACAATGTTATTCGTTGCTCCGTTTGTAGCTAAAATATATAAAGTATTTGAGTTAGTAACGCGAGAGCAAGCGACGTAAAGTTGATCGAATGAAAAACAGCTTTAAACACACATACACATTGATCGTGGTTTCTTAAAACTTTAATAACTCTATATTAAATGAAGATATCGAAATTTTTTTTCAGATTAGGGCCAAGTGTCTAAGAAATAAAACTTAGAAAACAAAGAATTGAGAACCTCGTCCTATTTTTGAAGTCGGTTGAAAAAATTACACTTATTTAAAAAAAAATGTTTTTATGTTAAGAAATTAAAAACTGTTGCCTGTCATTGTTTATAATATATTGATATTACAATAATTAACTAGGTTAAAGTCTCTTAGTTGAAACTACCACAAGGAGACCCGTGCACAGCCTCAGCAGTAAGATGTACCTGTACCACTATACATACTGACTTAACTATTACTTGAACCACAGAATAGATAATAGTACAAGTACTTAAACATAGAAAGATATCATTATGGACTACGTACAAATTATCAATACAATGGAGAACATAATATTTTATCAGATGCTGCAGTATTAAATGGCAATGCAACGCTTAGAAGTCGAAATAATGAAGTCTCTTATCTTTACCGTTCAAAATGTGATCGACATTGTGTCAACATCACGACATCACATCTACGACTTTTTCTGCCACCAGGGCGGCGCCACATAAAAGTGAGGTAGGTATAATATTTGACAGATTTCATAGTGGGGAAGTTAATTTATTCGAAAAATGTAAAAGTTATTGTTTCTTTTTGTACTATTAGCTTTATTTTATATTAATAACATTAAAAATAAATAAACCAAACCACAGATAGTCATATAAGTAGAAAAATTAAAAGAAAGTAAATAATGTGCAAAAAAAAAGAGCAAACCACTGACGTATTGTTTTGTAGATTAATATAATACTCTACAAATTGATAAAATTTTATTAAAATACCAACTTGCCAATTAAATTACATTGTGTAACAAAAAAACTTTACCTCAGTGTCAACTAGCGACATCTGGTGAGTGAGGTGAGACACATGTTGAATCGCCGATCTAAAGCGTCTCCCACACACAAGCGGCTTACGGTGGCGGCTAACCGCGGGCCGCGGCTCCAGCCGCTGCAACAACATACCACCGCGTCACCGCGGCCGGAATGGCGGCCTGAAGCGCCATTCGCTGTGGTGTCTGTGCTACGATCGGACGTCAGTAAACATGACAAACCGTGGCGAAGTTTTATTATATTCAGCAATATTATCATATATTTTGTTTTTAATCCTAATGCTTTTGTGATCACGATGCAAATTATCATAAAGTACAGGATAATTTTGCACTGTTTCTATTAAAAGCTCTGAATTTAGCACCATTTTTCACGCGGTACACGCGGCCTGTTATAAAAATTTACAACTGACCGCGCTGCGGCTATTGACTGACCGCGTACTCGCTAACACACACGCGTTGGCAAATGGGGCGGAGCATGCGGCCGCGGCCAGCCGCTGGCAGGCCGCGCCATGACCGCACCAGTTTACAGACTCACTTACATTGCAAGCGAATACAACTGGCAGCCACCGCGGCCGCTACCGCAAGCCGCGTCTGTGTGGGAGGAGACGCTTAACAAGGAACGGCTTTAGTAAACTTTTTCGTTATTGTCAATGTCGTAAACCGAAAACCAGATCGTAATCTACTTGTGATAGGCTGTAATGATGATAATGATGAAATATCAACAGTTGGCATGAACATTTGAAATCCTTTTTACCATAAAAAAATCAAAGGAAAGTTAAAATAATATGTTTGAGAAGTTGAGAAAACCAAGAAATTCAAGCGCCTGCTAGTTTTAATTAGCAACATTTGTACGAACAGGTTGCCGTTGCGGATACAATCAAATTAGTCTAGTCCTATTTCTACATAATGTATCATTATGTATGTAAGTAATTGCGTATGATTTGAATATTCCTAAAACTAATACATAAACATTGTTACTTATAATTTCATCTTATTACACTTATTCGTCTACGTAATGTTTGATATGGGGCATTCAAACCGAAACAGCAGTGAGTGCACCATTGTAAATGCAGAAATGGGTTAACACGGTGGTACCAAACTCATCCCGTGTCATCCATCCCCACCTTTGTCTTTATCTCCCAGTGATAATTAGTAGAAAATGCTACATTAAGTCTATCCAATGTTTCCTTTATTTAAAGCTGTTTAGAATTGAGAATAAGTACATAGAACATAATAGGTTTAACATATCTCTCGGCTACTAGCTGCGATGTTAGTACAGTTAGCCAGCTGCTTTTTAGAGCTTCATCGAATGCGTCATTGAACTCACACATCGGGCTCACGGACTCAAAATTTTTTTCAAAGAATAGGGTGACAAACGAGCACACAGTATAGTGTATTATCTATAGTCCACGTGGTGGCAAGTGGATGCTGTGGCTCATAGATATCTACATTTATTTTCAATTTAGAATTAAATTGTTGAAATATATTTATTTTTGACATTACAAACAGACTATATATTTATATATATTTATTTATATTTTAATTACATAATAATAATAATTTATTTTATTTTCTCACCACAATACAGAATTATTGTACATAATATTATAGTATAGCCTCAATAATATACTGTGGGAGACTGGTGCCTAAGCTAGGCTTTACGCCTGTATTTCAGAACGCCAGGTCTCCGCCCTATGGTTCTAATTACAATACTTTTATTATGCACTCGTACATGTACCATATTTATAATTTACATAATATCTCCTTTCATTTACTTAGGATTCTACATATATTAACTAGTATTAGTGTGTGTGTGTGTGTGTGTGTGTGTGTGTGTATGTGTATGTGTATGTGTGTGTGTGTGTGTGTGTGTGTGTGTGTGTGTGTGTGTGTGTGTGCGCGTGTGCGTGTGCGTGTGCGTGTGCGTGTGCGTGCGCGTGCGCGTGCGCGTGCGCGTGTGCGTGTGCGTGTGCGTGTGCGTGTGCGTGTGCGTGTGCGTGTGTGTGTTTGTGTGTGTGTGTGTGTGTGTGTGTGTGTGTGTGTGTGTGTGTGTGTGTGTGTGTGCATGCTTTTGTTTGTTAGTTTGTGACTGGGTTAGTAATTAACTTTTATTAGATTAGTAATTAGATAGAATTAGTAAGTAGTTGTTCAGTGTCATAATAATTTAGTTCTTGGAGCCAGATAGTTATTTTCTTTTTGCATATAGTTTTGTTAAGGTTAAATATAGGGATAATTTTATTGATTTTATTGTATAAGAAACCTCCAAGGTGACAAAAGAAACGTTTAGATAATTTGGTGGATAGAGTTATATGATAGCGGTCCACGGGGTTAAAACGCCTTTTATCTCGGGAGAGTGAGGGGTTGTATTTTAATAAAGCATGTTGTTTTAGTAAGGTACTTTGTATAAACAGTTGCCGCACAGTTAAAATTTTCAACTCTTTATATAGGAGCTCTGTAGGATAGCGATACGGCAGTGAAAAAGAGACCTTTAAGATGGCTCTCTGCGTTCTCTCCAATTGAAGCATTTTAGTTTTTGGAGCACCGCCCCAGGAGGTAATACCATATGTTAACAGAGATTGGGCCAAGGCGAAGTAGACGGATTTTAACCCTATATATAAACCCTACAACTATCCTACTCCTGACACTGCATTGGTCTTACTCTCTCAAAGTTTAGTTTTCTAAAGGTTCTCTCTCGACTTTGTATTTGCTCCGTGCTTCTACCGCGTGTGAACTGCTCATCAAAAGTAGCAAGTTTACATATCGGTCGGATTTTGGGAATGCGAGTTTTCATCAGATCTCCACGTTTTGAGGTTCTAGGAAGCCGTTCCGACTATTCCCGGCTGGACGTCCGGCCGTGTGTGTGTATGTATGTAAATAAAATTTTGTCGTGCGATATCTTTAGAACGAACCATTCGATCGAGATGGGCGACACGGCGTTCGAAAGTGTTGAAGTGATTAGATTTTCAAGTCAATCGGTCGAGCCGTTTCAAAGATTTTCAAAAAATAAAAATTAAATAGACTTTTGAGGGTTGCGTTCGAAAATAAGCGAGAAGTTCCAGGAATGGCCTGCAGGGTCAACAGTTTTTCAGATTTTTTAAGAGTGAGTATTTAGGTTATAAATATAAGAAATAAAACAATCTTTGAAGATTATTTTTATTGACAACAGTATTTCATTCATTTCTTGTTCTTTTTACTGCGGTAGGGGGCCGGCATCTTGAGGTGCACCGTGTTCACGTGCAGCTTCATGGAGTTGGACTGCGAGAAGGACTTGCCGCAATGCGGACAGCTGTAGGGCTTCGCCCCAGTGTGAACCTGCAAATTGCAAAACTTAATATAGAAACAGAAACTTTTTTATTCAATGTAGATTATAAATAATACATATTGAAAGTCACTCTTATGTTTAAATTACCACTGGTTCAAAAAAACCTTTGTCCTGGCAAGAGCAAGAAACCCAGCGGGACTTTTTTTAAATAAAAAATAACAGCTTACAATCATGTATGATACACAAAACAAATTAAAAATACCTTGATAACGATCACAGATCAAGGGTTATTATCATCCATAAATTCCTTAATATTATAATAACTCTTTTTATACAAACTTAGTTTAATAAAGTTTTTGAACAGTGAACTGGTAAAATTGTGTATATTTTATGAGATTTTGTTGTAAAAGCGTATACTTCGCCCCAAGAATGAATTACTGACTCGCTGGAGTCGAGTAACTGGTACTAATAGCTTGTGTCTGTTCCTAGTATTTACAGAATGAATATCACTTATTTTTGTATATCTACTTTTATTTTTGTGTACGTATATTACATTTTCATAAATGTATTGAGAGACCCAAGTTAATATATTTATTTCTTTAGGTTTTAAATTAGATTGCTTTTATGGTCCTCTTCTGTAAAACAAATATAATTTCAGTGTCAGCTGCATGCCCCCCCTAGCAAAATACCATACGAAATTATGCTATGGAAGCTGTTTTCACACTGGTAAGATTTCTACTCTTTTTCACATCATATTGCTAGTTTTGATATATGGGGGCTTCATTGAAGCTTCGCATCCAGTGTGATTCCAAGAAAAATTGTGGCATCGCTCCCCATTTAAAATTATATTTGTATTTAAATGTTTGACGTTTGGAGTCATGAATATCAAAAATTCAAATGATTAACATTAAACCAATTTACTAATTTAGATATAGCATTATTTACTTCGTCATATTTTAATAATTGTTGATTTAATTTGAAAATTAACGAAGTGTCCTTACTATGTAAAATAAGTCATTAATATATACAAGAAACAGAAAGGGTTCGAGAATTGAGCCCTGAGGCACACCCATTTGTACTATCAACTCGGAAAAGCTTATACTATTAGTGACAACTTTTTGCGTTCTGTTACTTAAATATGAAATAATTAATTTAAGAGCATCACTTCTTAACACCGTAGTGTTGAAGTTGTCTGCTTAATGTTTCATGGTGAACACAATTGAAGGCTTTGGATAGGTCACAAAATATACCCACAGCATCCTGTGAATTCTCCAGTACACTGAAGATATATTTAATCAGTTCAACACTAGCATCAGTTGTCAAGCGACCCGTTGTGAATGTATAACGATTATATAAATACCATGATAAATTCTATTTCTATTTCTGTTGGTCCATGCTATAAACTGGTACACTATACACTCACCATATGAAACACAGCAGCTTTAAGCAGCTATTTCACGCTGGTATTCTGTGAGAGCGTGGTCGTTCCCCGATCGAGCCGAGCCATTCGTGCTACAACCATAATATAGCTGCAGCGTGACTCTAGCACTTACAAAGATGGATGTTTGTCCTTGTGCAATTTATGTATGTAAGCTGTCTCCACGATACGGATGAAAATCCTAGTGGGGGTAACGTTTTTTACCGTTAAACGATGTATTTGTCGTATGTATGTACCGTGTAGTGGCGGTGTAAGAATATCCACTACCCCATATCATACCGTGGGTGTCGTAAGAGACGTCAGAGGGAAACAAATCAGGAGATGGGGTGCAGCGCCGCCCTAATAAAGAATAAAAATAAAAAACTGCCGTTGCAATTCCTCTTGCCGCGTGTGGCATCTATGGCAATTATCCCCCCCCCCCCCCCCCCCCCTAAGGCAAGCTATAGGCCTGTGTTCAGCAGTGGACTTTAATAGGCTGCAAGGTGTTTTAGACTTTGGGTTTGTATATTTCTTTAAAATATGTATCAAATAAATAGTTATTTCTATTTAAACATAACTTGTGGACTTGTGAAGGACTTTGATGATGATGATGGTGATGGTTTAAACAAAACTCACCCGATCGTGCCTGTTCAGAGCGGCCTTGTGTTTGAACGCCTTGGGGCAGTGCTGGCACTGGTACGGGCTCTCCCCGGTGTGGGTTCGAACGTGGATCTGCGACGGACGATATAATGTATGTATTATGTTAAGGTTGGAAATCAGACAAAAATACCGTATTTCAGACACAGAACTTTATAGGACATCGTTCTAATCTATCATACTCTATTGGATAGTGCTTATGACTCTCTCTCTCTCTCTCTCTCTCGCTCTATATATATATATATATATATATATATATATATATATATATATATATATATATACCTCTCTCTGTCGCACATAGTTACCTGCAGTCGCTGGTACATGCTTAACTTCTTGAAAAAGCGTTCTTATCTCTTACACTCTTAAAAGTTGCAGCCTATTTACGTCCCACTGCTGGGCACAGGCCTCCTCTCATTTCTGAGAGGGCTTTAGGACAAGGAAAGGTCCGCCGCGCTGCATCAATGCGTGTTGGTGAACTTCACATGTCTTCGAAATATTTTTTTTTATTTCTCAAACATGCAGGTTTCCTCACGATGTTTTCCTTCACCGCCGAGCACGTGGTAAATCAGCACTTAAAATTGCAATTAACAATTTCATTGATGCCGGCGGGGATCGAACCCGGGTTGCTAGAGTACCGTGAAGCTTACAGCGAGCGATAACCATCTGAGCTACCACGGCCTACACTTAGAGTAATGTTAATGCCTCTTTCTCTCTCACTATACCTGTCTCTGTCGCACAGTTACCTGCAGGCGCTGGTAGACGCTGAAGTTCTTGGGGCAGTGGGTGCACTTGTACGGCTTCTCGCTCTCTCTCTATCTATGTACCTGTCTCTGTCGCACTTACCTGCAGGCGCTGGTAGACGCTGAAGTTCTTGGGGCAGTGGGTGCACTGGTACGGCTTCTCGCTCTCTCTATCTCTATAGCTGTCTCTGTCGCACTTACCTGCAGGCGCTGGTAGACGCTGAAGTTCTTGGAGCAGTGGGTGCACTGGTACGGCTTCTCGCTCTCTCTCTATGTATATACCTGTCTCTGTCGCACTTACCTGCAGGCGCTGGTAGACGCTGAAGTTCTTAGGGCAGTGGGTGCACTGGTACGGCTTCTCGCTCTCTCTCTATCTCTATAGCTGTCTCTGTCGCACTTACCTGCAGGCGCTGGTAGACGCTGAAGTTCTTGGGGCAGTGGGTGCACTGGTATGGCTTCTCGCTCTCTCTCTATCTATATACCTGTCTCTGTCGCACTTACCTGCAGGCGCTGGTAGACGCTGAAGTTCTTGGGGCAGTGGGTGCACTGGTACGGCTTCTCGCTCTCTCTATCTCTATAGCTGTCTCTGTCGCACACTTACCTGCAGACGCTGGTAGACGCTGAAGTTCTTGTGGCAGTGGGTGCACTGGTACGGCTTCTCGCTCTCTCTCTATCTATATACCTGTCTCTGTCGCACTTACCTGCAGGCGCTGGTAGACGCTGAAGTTCTTGGGGCAGTGGGTGCACTGGTACGGCTTCTCGCTCTCTCTCTATCTATATACCTGTCTCTGTCGCACAGTTACCTGCAGGCGCTGGTAGACGGTGAAGTTCTTGGGGCAGTGGGTGCACTTGTACGGCTTCTCGCTCTCTCTATCTCTATAGCTGTCTCTGTCGCACAGTTACCTGCAGGCGCTGGTAGACGCTGAAGTTCTTGGGGCAGTGGGTGCACTGGTACGGCTTCTCCTTCTCTCTATCTATTTGCCTGTCTCTGTCGCACTTACCTGCAGGCGCTGGTAGACGCTGAAGTTCTTGGGGCAGTGGGTGCACTGGTACGGCTTCTCGCTCGCTCTCTATTTATATACTTGTCTCTGTCGCACTTACCTGCAGGCGCTGGTAGACGCTGAAGTTCTTGGGGCAGTGGGTGCACTGGTACGGCTTCTCGCTCTCTCTATCTCTATAGCTGTCTCTGTCGCACAGTTACCTACAGGCGTTGGTAGACGCTGAAGTTCTTAGGGCAGTGGGTGCACTGGTACGGCTTCTCGCTCTCTCTCTATCTATATACCTGTCTCTGTCGCACTTACCTGCAGGCGCTGGTAGACGCTGAAGTTCTTGGGGCAGTGGGTGCACTTGTACGGCTTCTCGCTCTCTATCAATGTATATACCTGTCTCTGTCGCACTTACCTGCAGGCGTTGGTAGACGCTGAAGTTCTTGGGGCAGTGGGTGCACTGGTACGGCTTCTCGCTCTCTCTCTCTATCTCTATACCTGTGTCTGTCGCACTTACCTGCAGGCGCTGGTAGACGCTGAAGTTCTTGGGGCAGTGGGTGCACTGGTACGGCTTCTCGCTCTCTCTCTATCTATATACCTGTCTCTGTCACACTTACCTGCAGGCGCTGGTAGACGCTGAAGTTCTTGGGGCAGTGGATGCACTGGTACGGCTTCTCGCTCTCTCTATCTCTATAGCTGTCTCTGTCGCACAGTTACCTGCAGGCGCTGGTAGACGCTGAAGTACTTGGGGCAGTGGGCGCATTGGTACGGCTTCTCGCTCTCTCTATCTATATGCCTGTCTCTGTCGCACTTACCTGCAGGCGCTGGTAGACGCTGAAGTTCTTGGGGCAGTGGGTGCACTGGTACGGCTTCTCGCTCTCTCTCTATCTGTATACTTGTCTCTGTCGCACTTACCTGCAGGCGCTGGTAGACGCTGAAGTTCTTGGGGCAGTGGGTGCACTGGTACGGCTTCTCGCTCTCTCTATCTCTATAGCTGTCTCTGTCGCACTTACCTGCAGGCGCTGGTAGACGCTGAAGTTCTTGGGGCAGTGGGTGCACTGGTACGGCTTCTCGCTCTCTCTCTATCTATATACCTGTCTCAGTCGCACTTACCTGCAGGCGCTGGTAGACGCTGAAGTTCTTGGGGCAGTGGGTGCACTGGTACGGCTTCTCGCTCCTTCTCTATCTATATACCTGTCTCTGTCGCACTTACCTGCAGGCGCTGGTAGACGCTGAAGTTCTTGGGGCAGTGGATGCACTGGTACGGCTTCTCGCTCTCTCTCTATCTCTATAGCTGTCTCTGTCGCACTTACCTGCAGGCGCTGGTAGACGCTGAAGTTCTTGGGGCAGTGGGTGTACTGGTACGGCTTCTCGCTCTCTCTATCTCTATAGCTGTCTCTGTCGCACAGTTACCTGCAGGCGCTGGTAGACGCTGAAGTTCCTGGGGCAGTGGGTGCACTGGTACGGCTTCTCGCTCTCTCTATCTCTATAGCTGTCTCTGTCGCACAGTTACCTGCAGGCGCTGGTAGATGCTGAAGTTCTTGGGCAGTGGGTGCACTGGTACGGCTTCTCGCTCTCTCTATCTATATGCCTGTCTCTGTCGCACTTACCTGCAGGCGCTGGTAGACGCTGAAGTTCTTGGGGCAGTGGGTGCACTAGTACGGCTTCTCGCTCTCTCTATCTCTATAGCTGTCTCTGTCGCACTTACCTGCAGGCGCTGGTAGACGCTGAAGTTCTTGGGGCAGTGGGTGCACTGGTAGGGCTTCTCGCTCTCTCTATCTCTATAGCTGTCTCTGTCGCACAGTAACCTGCAGGCACTGGTAGACGCTGAAGTTCTTGGGGCAGTGGGTGCACTGGTACGGCTTCTCGCTCTCTCTCTATGTATATACCTGTCTCTGTCGCACTTACCTGCAGGCGTTGGTAGACGCTGAAGTTCTTGGGGCAGTGGGTGCACTGGTACGGCTTCTCGCTCTCTCTCTCTATCTCTATACCTGTGTCTGTCGCACAGTTACCTGCAGGCGCTGGTAGACGCTGAAGTTCTTGGGGCAGTGGGTGCAATTGTACGGCTTCTCGCTCTCTCTCTATCTATATACCTGTCTCTGTCGCACTTACCTGCAGGCGCTGGTAGACGCTGAAGTTCTTGGGGCAGTGGGTGCACTGGTACGGCTTCTCGCTCTCTCTCTCTATCTATATACCTGTCTCTGTCGCACTTACCTGCAGGCGCTGGTAGACGCTGAAGTTCTTGGGGCAGTGAGTGCACTGGTACGGCTTCTCGCTCTCTCTCTATCTATATACCTATCTCAGTCGCACTTACCTGCAGGCGCTGGTAGACGCTGAAGTTCTTGGGGCAGTGGGTGCACTGGTACGGCTTCTCGCTCCTTCTCTATCTATATAACTGTCTCTGTCGCACTTACCTGCAGGCGCTGGTAGACGCTGAAGTTCTTGGGGCAGTGGGTGCACTGGTAGGGCTTCTCGCTCTCTCTATCTCTATAGCTGTCTCTGTCGCATAGTAACCTGCAGGCACTGGTAGACGCTGAAGTTCTTGGGGCAGTGGGTGCACTGGTACGGCTTCTCGCTCTCTCTCTATGTATATACCTGTCTCTGTCGCACTTACCTGCAGGCGTTGGTAGACGCTGAAGTTCTTGGGGCAGTGGGTGCACTGGTACGGCTTCTCGCTCTCTCTCTATGTATATACCTGTCTCTGTCGCACTTACCTGCAGGCGTTGGTAGACGCTGAAGTTCTTGGGGCAGTGGGTGCACTGGTACGGCTTCTCGCTCTCTCTCTCTATCTCTATACCTGTGTCTGTCGCACAGTTACCTGCAGGCGCTGGTAGACGCTGAAGTTCTTGGGGCAGTGGGTGCAATTGTACGGCTTCTCGCTCTCTCTCTATCTATATACCTGTCTCTGTCGCACTTACCTGCAGGCGCTGGTAGACGCTGAAGTTCTTGGGGCAGTGGGTGCACTGGTACGGCTTCTCGCTCTCTCTCTCTATCTATATACCTGTCTCTGTCGCACTTACCTGCAGGCGCTGGTAGACGCTGAAGTTCTTGGGGCAGTGGGTGCACTGGTACGGCTTCTCGCTCTCTCTCTATCTATATACCTGTCTCAGTCGCACTTACCTGCAGGCGCTGGTAGACGCTGAAGTTCTTGGGGCAGTGGGTGCACTGGTACGGCTTCTCGCTCCTTCTCTATCTATATACCTGTCTCTGTCGCACTTACCTGCAGGCGCTGGTAGACGCTGAAGTTCTTGGGGCAGTGGGTGCACTGGTAGGGCTTCTCGCTCTCTCTATCTCTATAGCTGTCTCTGTCGCACAGTAACCTGCAGGCACTGGTAGACGCTGAAGTTCTTGGGGCAGTGGGTGCACTGGTACGGCTTCTCGCTCTCTCTCTATGTATATACCTGTCTCTGTCGCACTTACCTGCAGGCGTTGGTAGACGCTGAAGTTCTTGGGGCAGTGGGTGCACTGGTACGGCTTCTCGCTCTCTCTCTCTATCTCTATACCTGTGTCTGTCGCACAGTTACCTGCAGGCGCTGGTAGACGCTGAAGTTCTTGGGGCAGTGGGCGCATTGGTACGGCTTCTCGCTCTCTCTCTATCTATATACCTGTCTCTGTCGCACTTACCTGCAGGCGCTGGTAGACGCTGAAGTTCTTGGGGCAGTGGGTGCACTGGTACGGCTTCTCGCTCTCTCTCTATCTATATACCTGTCTCTGTCGCACTTACCTGCAGGCGCTGGTAGACGCTGAAGTTCTTGGGGCAGTGGGTGCACTGGTACGGCTTCTCGCTCTCTCTCTATCTATATACCTGTCTCAGTCGCACTTACCTGCAGGCGCTGGTAGACGCTGAAGTTCTTGGGGCAGTGGGTGCACTGGTACGGCTTCTCGCTCCTTCTCTATCTATATACCTGTCTCTGTCGCACTTACCTGCAGGCGCTGGTAGACGCTGAAGTTCTTGGGGCAGTGGATGCACTGGTACGGCTTCTCGCTCTCTCTCTATCTCTATAGCTGTCTCTGTCGCACTTACCTGCAGGCGCTGGTAGACGCTGAAGTTCTTGGGGCAGTGGGTGTACTGGTACGGCTTCTCGCTCTCTCTATCTCTATAGCTGTCTCTGTCGCACAGTTACCTGCAGGCGCTGGTAGACGCTGAAGTTCCTGGGGCAGTGGGTGCACTGGTACGGCTTCTCGCTCTCTCTATCTCTATAGCTGTCTCTGTCGCACAGTTACCTGCAGGCGCTGGTAGATGCTGAAGTTCTTGGGCAGTGGGTGCACTGGTACGGCTTCTCGCTCTCTCTATCTATATGCCTGTCTCTGTCGCACTTACCTGCAGGCGCTGGTAGACGCTGAAGTTCTTGGGGCAGTGGGTGCACTAGTACGGCTTCTCGCTCTCTCTATCTCTATAGCTGTCTCTGTCGCACAGTTACCTGCAGGCATTGGTAGACGCTGAAGTTCTTGGGGCAGTGGGTGCACTGGTACGGCTTCTCGCTCTCTCTCTATCTATATACCTGTCTCTGTCGCACTTACCTGCAGGCGCTGTCTATCTCTATACCTGTGTCTGTCGCACAGTTACCTGCAGGCGCTGGTAGACGCTGAAGTTCTTGGGGCAGTGGATGCACTTGTACGGCTTCTCGCTCTCTCTCTCTCTCTCTCTCTCTCTCTCTCTCTCTATCTCTATACCTGTCTCCGTCGCACAGTTACCTGCAGGCGCTGGTAGACGCTGAAGTTCTTGGGGCAGTGGGTGCACTGGTACGGCTTCTCGCCAGTGTGGATCCGCTGGTGGTACATCAGTGTCGCTTTGGTCTGTGAAAAGTACCAAAAATATTTCAAACATGACACATTACGATGAGATATAATTTATTTGTATTTGTACTGTATAGTAAAATATGTCGTATGTGCCTCTGTGTTTGATTGTCCGTATGTCTATGCGTCTGTTTGTCTGTTGTGTGAGCGTGCACTTACAATAAATTTCTTGTCACATCAATAAAATACAAGTCCATCTTGTAAAACATATTGTATATGTGTCTGTCGGTGACCCCGTCAGTCTGTGTATGTCAACACATACGTTGCAGTTCTTACTGCGTAAATCCATCGTGAAAACATGTTGTATGTGTGTTTGTGTGACTGTGAATCTGTCTATATTATTCCGTATTCTATATTATTCCGTATATGCGAGCAGTCACAATGTATTTAATGCCGCGTAACCCCATCACATAAACATTGTAGGTTGTAGCACGAATGGGTCAGCTCGACCGGGGAAGGACCACGCTCTCACAGAATACCAGCGTAAAATAGCAGCTTAACACTGCTGTGTTTCGTATGGTGAGTGTAGAGAACTACTGGAAAAGAGGCATCTTAGTCACACACTCACCATACGAAACACAGCAGTGTTAAGCTGCTATTTCACACTGGTATTCTGTGAGAGCGTGGTCCTTGTCCGGTCGAGCCGACCCATTCGTGCTACAACTATAACATTAATATAGCTGCAGCACGGCTCTACCACGTAAAAATGTGGCGAGCACTCACGATTCACTTCTTACCACATAGCTCCATCGTGTAAACAAGTGTTTTTGTCTATGCGTCCGACTGACTGTTTGTCAATCTGTGTATGTGAAGTACTCATGATACACTTCTTACAGTGTAGCACTACCGTGTCAAACATGTTGCATATGCCTTTGTGTTTGTTTGTGTATCTGTCGTGTCAAACATGTTGTATGCGTTTGTCTGTCTGTCTTCTGTATGTACATGTGTGTGTTTTCACTCACGTTGCACTTCTTGCCGCAGACCTCGCAGACCATGTCTGCAGGTTTCTTGAGCTGCCTGGCGGTATGCGGGCGCGGCTGCTTTAGCTTTACGCCCAGGTGTACGCGTTGATAGTGAATCGCGTGAGAACGCTCGTTCGCGAACGTTCTATTGCACTGCAATCACATTTTATTGACTAATAAAATTCCATTTCTGAACATAGGCTTCACTTTAGATTGCCACATAGGGTTTTTTTCGCTATAGTAGCTACGCATGTCAACCATAGCTTTTCTCAACAGACTTCAAAGAATGTCCTCCATTCTTTGAAGTCTGTTGAGAAAAGCTATGGTTCTTAATTCGATTCAGATCTTTTTCGAGGTGAACCGATTTTGATGTATCTTGTTTGTATTTGAGAGCTGGTGCTTTTCATGTGGTCCAATATAAAGGAGATGTATGAAATTGGGTTGTTGACATCGTTCATAACAGTTATACAAAAATATGTAGGTAATATAACGATAAATTATAAGCATAATTAAATGGTTTTTATTTCTGAAGGGTATGGGACAATCATAAAAACATTTTTTTAAACTGAAAACCGAAAGCTAATGCTTTTACCATAGCAAAAACAAAACGTTATTAAATATTTTTATGTATTCTGTCTATGGCATTAGATAATGAAGGCTATTTTTTGTAATAAATAGCCTTCAGTATAAAAAAAAAACCTCATAATATTGAAACATTGAGGCGAATCTGTAGAGATTAATACTGAATAAAAGAAATCATTTAGAAAATCAATTGAATAGGCTACGTTATTTAACTAAACATAATATTTGAATAATATCGGACACGATTGAATAGGCTCTATGATCGTTGATCATTGCCTGTTTCGAAGGAGACTTGGTAACTGAGTTTAAACTTGTCATGCGATTTGCCATTGTGGTAGTATTTGTGGATATATTTCGTGTTTTTATTTTCGTGAATTAATTTAACTTGACCCTTGGCTTTTCTCTCGATTTACAGGTCAGTAGGTTGTTGCGCCCACATAATGACAATAATGTGTTACTTGGGTTTTAAGAGGAATAGAACAAACAATGTACAGACTCAGGCTACTTTTCTAGATGACATTTTATTAAAAATTGAATAAAATAATTAAACAATTACAAAAGTTTCAGTTATATTTTATTTAATAATAACTAAAAAACGGCATCCTTTTGTGTTCTTTTCAATTTATTGAAACAACTTATCCCAAGAACAAGTGATTTTACTACATAACCTACAAATAATAAAACGAAATAAAAACAAAACCCCAGGCCCTACAAAAATATCATTTTTTGTCATAAGTAACATACTCGTATGTTTAAATCTTCAAAATAAGATATATTTGAACTTTGTTTACGCCGGGCCCAAGCTTGTATGGAACGAAGTTCATCTCCTTTGATAGTTATCTTATATAGTTATATAGTTATCTGACCGATAGTTTTTGAGTTATCCTTAATAATGGGTATTTAATTGACTTCGACTACATTGATGGTGTTTTAATTATATTTATATTGAAGTCGGTTGAACAAAATTTTCAATTTGATCACTTGTTATTAATTTGTTATTTATTATATACATATAATATTTACATTATATACAAACACACACAAGTTGTAACACCCTATTTCATCAAGGATTTTTGAAAATCAACCCCTAGGGGGTGAAATAGGGTGTTAAGTTTGTATAAAACTTTTTATTTTACAGTACAATTCACTTATAATTTACTGAAAGTACTCTGTAAATAAAATAAATCAATTTGGTTGTAGCGATTTCCTAAAACAAAAGGTTGTTCAAAATTAGATGGAGAAAAATTAATTCTTTGTTTTTTTTTTTATGGAAAATTGGTGTATACAGGGTAGTTTTGGAACGCTCCCGAAAACTAAGACAGGCGACAGCACCAAGTATACCTTTGATCATGGGTCACAAATAAATTTGATCCTGATGAAAAAAAATCATATTTTTACAACGTTTTATTAGCTTTATTCACGCGCCATCATGTTAGTACAGCTAAATGAATCGATAATTTCATAAAAAAAAAATCATGAAAATACTGAAACATAAAACCAGCAGTGGAAACTGAATTGATATCACCTGACTAATGGAGGTTAATGTACGCGCGAACGGTGATAAAAGAACGCTGGCCTTGAACTTGGGCACTGAGCGATTTATCACATATAAGTACGAAGGGGCGCGACGGGGGAACAATCCGCCAGTATTACTGTGCCTGCATGCTATTGGTTCCCGCGCTTTGTTCGCTCCAAAAATACAGTCACATACACAGCTTACTTTGCGACTCGCGACGATGTTTTAAAAAGGAAGGAAACAAAAATTATTTATATCTATTGTTTTATGACTAAACTAGTGAACGAAAAGGTAAATATGATAGGAGAAGGTGAATGGGGAAAATTGTGCAGTAAAGGGTTGAGGGAGAATACCGAAAAAATTACCATGTGATGGACCTGATGACGGAAGCTCAAGCGAAGATGAAAGTGATGATGAAGTAGCATCCGGTAACACCAACACACCATCAACATCTGACTTTCATGTGACCCAAGACGTCATAATGGACGGCGTGTCACCCTTAGCTTAAGTTTTTTTTGTTACAAACTACTTTATATTTTACGATAGAAATAACAAATAATGCTCAAGTAAACATTATCCATTTTTAATTCCCACCTCTTCCAAAGTTCTAAGTAAATAGTAAAACACCTATTATGATTCTACAATTAAACAATTAATTACTATAATATTATAAAACAATAGCCCAATACCATGTAGTACTTTAGAACGCGACTGTACCCACACTCTCTCCGCTGTCGACCTGTATCTAGCTCGGTACGAAACAATGCTGCGGTCGTAAGAAAAAAGGGCGCATCTAACAATTTTTGAATAAATGAGTTAAATATACCATGACTCATGATAAGAAGGCGCATCTATTAAATTTTTTTAATATTTACAAATATCAATATTTTAGAAATTATCGTAAGAATTTTAGACGTAACTGTTGATCACAGATGACATCTTTTTATTAGAAAAGACTTATACAAATTCAACATAAAAGAAAAGACTTATTTAACCAGTGGCTACGTCATCTTTAACAATATTTGCATCGATTACTTAAATTTCAATTATTCTTGTCTTTTTATTCTATATCTTATTATTAAGAGCTTATATCTTATTACTAAGAGCTGGTGTTTCACATGTGGTCCCATATAAATTTGATCGAGGTCAGACCAATAGTTTTTGAGTCATCCTTAATTATTTATATTAAAGTCGGTTGTACAAAATTTTTAATTTTTAATTATTATCGTAGTAAGTCTTGTATGATATCCCCTTTAAAATCATTACTCAAGAGTTGCGGGTTGTTATTTTTTGTGTCTGATTACCAATGCTTTTCTAATATTTACTAAGAAAAAAGTAGTAAATTACTATTAGCGTCCTTTCAACTTCAAATGACCTTTCCAAAATATGTAAAAATGTTAAATGAATGGCAGTTTTTTTTTATTTATTAGGTTGGGAAGACGCAAATAGTTATATGCGTCTTTCCTTCGATGTTTTTGTGTTGCCAGGTGTATTTTTTAATCTAAGATGAAAAGGAAAATTCGTTTTATTTAAATAAATAAACAAATTATCAAAAAAATAAGTTCGTCCTTGAAATCTTCATGTCTCTACGTACATATTTCGATTTTCATATAGATACCTTTTAATATACTTTAGACACGGGGTCTGAAAGAAAAATTCATAAATTTATTTTTACGTTTTTGTTAGTTGCGTCCTTCTTTATATTGACGGCAGAATGTAACCCGGCCGGCTCGTGTCGTCTCACGCTGTGACGCAGTAGGTTTCAGTTTATTCGTCGGGGTTCGTTATTAATTGTAGTTTTTGAAACAGTTCCGTGTTGATTTTGTACACGCGTGCGCGAGCGACAGCTCAATCGTTTTCTTTATTAAATTGTTAATACTTGTGATTACCTGTTGGTATTATTCTTGTTGTTACGTTTTTTGTTTTAATAATGCTTAACGCGTACGTTTATAGTGATTATGAATACGGCAACATGTTAGGTATCCGAACCTAGGTACACGAAGTATCGCTAAATAAATTGTTAAGACGTCGGGATGGAACAAGTGTGTCATACTGTGCAGTGCACAAAGTGTTGAAGCGTAACCGAATGCGCCCATACAAATTGCACAAAGTGCAAGCTTTAGTTCCCGGCGATCACGACCGCCGACGATTTTTCTGCCGTTGGTTATTATACCAGCAACAACGTGTGCCTGGTTCCATTGAGCACATTATCTGGACGGATGAGTCGACATTTACCAGAAACGGCCTGTGGAACCGAAGAAATACACACGTGTATTCAGAGGTTAACCCGCACGCTGTTCGACAAACCGGGCACCAAACCCGATGGTCGGTTAATGTATAGGCAGGTTTATTTAAGGATCGCATACTGGGACCAGTGTTTCTGCCAGAGCGACTGAACGGACAGCGATACCTAAACTTTATAAATGAACAGTTGGTTGACATTTTAAACGACCTATCGTTGGCTGGATATCGCCGCACATGGTTCCAACATGATGGTGCCCCTCCACATTTCGTGAGGTTCGTCCGTGAGCGCCTCAATGAGCTATTTGATGATCGCTGGATCGGCAGACTAGGACCACACGCTTGGCCACCTCGCTCACCAGATCTGACTCCGTTAGACTTCTTTTTGTGGGGTATGTGAAAGAAAGGGTTTTTAATCGTGAATGTGATAGTGCTGAAGAAATGCGCCAAAGGATCGTGGATGCTTTCGAGAAACTACGTACGGACTGTGTCGAAGACCACACGATGATGCCCCGCCTGCACCCAAATCTACCTTGAAATGAATGGAGCACAATTTGAGCCGCATCTCATAAGACCACGGAGGATTTAGAGCGGTAAGCTGTTTCATACCTATTTTTTTTAAATAACTTAGTACTAGACTAATCTGAATAGGTACATAACTGAATACATGAGAATAATAAACATACCTACACGATGAATAAAAACTCATGACTCCAACCTTGGTTACATTTCATTTAAGTATTTTTTCATTAGCGGGGAATCGAACCAGTTATTTGGGTTATTTAACCTGTAAATTCGGATTAAAGTGGCTAAGTGGAGACAAGCACAGTGGCAAAATAGTAGGTTAAGTAGATAAGTTAGGTATTTAGACAAGTGTTGTAAATTATTAGATATTGTGGTATGGCCCGCTAGTTGCGGGCCGCGCGAATTTGCGTTCGCGCGTACATTGACCTTTCAGTCAGGTGATATAAATTCAGTCATTCCACTGCTGGTTTTATGTTTCAGTATTTTCATGATATATTTTATGAAATTATCGTTTCATTTAGCTGTACTAACATGATGGCGCGTGAATAAAGCTAATAAAACGTTGTAAAAAGATGATTTTTTTTTCATCAGGATCGAATTTATTTGTGACCCATGATCAAAGGTGTACTTGGTGTTGTCGCCTGTCTTAGTTTTCGGGAGCGTTCCAAAAATACCCTGTATACTCTGTAATTAAAAATTATATTGAGAAAAATTATTATTTGTTTTTTTTTTAATGGAAAATTGGCGTAACTTTGTAATTAAAAATTATGGACACAAGTTTTTAAGAAAAAAAAATTAAATATTGTAAAGGAATGTGTAAAAAGTAAAAAAAAAGACGTAAGCACTCACATCCTGACAGTGAACAGACTCTTCCTTCTGATGACACTTCATATGCTCCTTCAGTAGTTCGTCAGAGGAACAGCTTTCACCGCAGTGTGGACAGGCGCTGGAATATTTTTTTTTTAAATAAAGTCCACTGCTGAACATAGACCTTCCCCAAGGAATGCCACAAAGCACGGTCCTGAGGACCCTGCATCTATCGACTTCCTGCATGTCTTACCAGATCGTCACTCCATCTAGTGGGGGATCGTCCTACACTTCCTCTACCGGTACGATGCTGCCATTCGAGAATATTTCTTCCCAATCGGTTGTCGGTTCTTCTCTTTCTTATAAGGGTGACAAGCGAGCACACAACCCATCTGATGGTAAGTGGATGCTGGGCGATTAGGAATGACAACGCAGATGCGTTGTCACCTGTGAGGACTAAGATGGAATGCCTCGTGACCAGTAAAAAGGGTCTCCGGTTCTCTACACTCACCATACGAAACAGCACTATTAAGCTGCTATTTTACGCTGTTGTATTCTGTGAGAGCGTGGTCCTTAGTGCCGACCCATTCGTGCTACAACTATAATACAGTTGCAGCGTGGCTCTACCAAGTAATGCCATGTTGCAGCTATATTATTTTTGATTATCATTCATTCATTTCGCTCGTTCCATTCGTCAATCGCTCACCTGACATCAGGTTGACATATATTGCCATCAGTTTCCTCTTGATGCCGCTTCAAGGCCTCCAAGTTGAAGAACTGCGCTGAACAGTTTCCGCACTGCAGCACCACTTTAGCGCCGTCATCCTGGAACAGGTTGTATTTAGAATAGAACAGAATACTGTTATCGTTACCGTTACAGCCTAAAGTTCAACGCTGAACATAGGCCTCTCCCATAGATTGCATCATGGGGGGATATTTGCAATAGTTGTAATGTTACTGTGGATTTAATAATTTCACCTGTCAGTGGGTCATGTGCTCCTGGTAGATTATCTTCTATACATACATCCATTACAGCCTATACAAGTCCACTGCTGAACACGGGCCTCCCCCATAGATTGCCTCATAGTGAGAATTATGCCATAGTTGTAATGTTACTGCTAATTTAATAATTTCACCTGTCAGTGGGTCATGTGCTCCTGGTAGATTATCTTCTATACATACATCCATTACAGCCTATGAAAGTCCACTTCTAAACATAGGCCTCCCCCATAGATTGCCTCATAGGGGGGATATTTGCCTTAGTTGTAACGTTACTGTTGATTTAATAATTTCACCTCTCAGTGGGTCATGGAGTCCTGGTAGATTATCTTCTATACATACATCCATTACAGCCTATGAAAATCCACTTCTAAACATAGGCCTCCCCCATAGATTGCCTTATAGGGAGGATATTTGCCATAGTTGTAATGTTACTGTTAATTTAATAATTTCACCTCTCAGTGGGTCATGTGCTCCTGGTAGATAATCTTCTATACATCCATCCATTACAGCTTACAAAAGCCCACTGCTGAACATAGATTGCCTCATAGGGATAGGGATATTTGCGATAGTTGCCACGCTTGGCAAGGGGGTTGGCAACCGCAGTTTTATATTTTCAGTCGTTATTAGTAAAACACTGATTTGTTTCCCTCTGTCGCCTCTTACAACACCCGTATAATAAGTGTTCGCGCAAAACTCTGTTTTCGGAATCGACGCCAGAGGGCACTCGGCTCGGTGCGAACTGGTTTTTGAAGTTCGGCCGCGCGTGGCAGTGGCGCGCGGGTTGCGAGTGAAAAGGCTCAGCAGTCAGTCGTCCTTAGGCAGTGCTCACGATTGGCACGCTGCCAATTAAGCGCGGGAACTCGGAATAATTAAGCGCGGACAGTAAAAATACGGTCTAGGAATTTTGTGGCGCATATCCCTACTGGAGAGCTTCCCCGGGACTTATTGGGTCCGACTCAGAACCTGTATAAGTGCATTCGACAATATTAGCTAGTGCGGCCTCTGTATTCTAGAACTAACTGTTGCAACGCGAAACGGTAGTGACCTTTGATCCAGAAACTCCGTGGGTGTTTTGTGCGGTAACTTTATACCCCGCGATAGTTAGTGGCTTCTGTAAGCTAGTTAATCGTACGATAGAGTTAAGTGACTGTCATCGTGACGAACAAAGAAAGTGACTGTGGTCCGGCGCCGAAGCAGTCTGAAGCAGTGTGGCAGCATTTTGGAGCAGCCTGGAACTCGGCAGCAGCTGGTCGCCTATGCTTGACAAGGCCACACACATTCACCCCTCACTGTACACTACTCTCAATCCACTATTACACACACTCACGGCCTGCCCAAGCCTTGGTGCGAAGTTAGCTTCGGATAATGGTAAGTACTATGTCCTTCTAACGTCCTCCCATCTGGTTTAATGTAATTAGGAATTTCCAAGTGGCCACATTGAGGCCCGACCTACGTTTGCTCGGGAAGTCTTCTGCTCATGGGCCCCAGAGGATAGGATCCTTTAAGGGAGCAGCCGTAGGCCATAACAATAAGAATAGATTAATTATTCAACACTAGCTGTTTTTTATTTATTACGATCGGATTTTATGAACAGTAACTTGGTGGTTTCCGGCACTCAAGCAAAAGTGAGATCGATTTAAACGAGTGACGATAGTAGTGTCGCGATAAACAATTGAGTTTAGCGGCATCTTATTATTGTAAAACTGTACCTGTACTGTATTTTTTAACCCCCAACGAAAAAGAGAGGTGTTATATGTTTGTCGTGGATCTGTATGTTTGTCTGCATCATAGCTCTTGAAGGGATGAACCGATTTTGATTATTTCTTTTGAAAGGTATCTTAATCGAGTGTTGTTAGATATGTTTCGAAAAAATGTGTTCAGCCGTTTGAAGCTCATCAACTTTTTGTTTCGGTTTTTTTTAATTTAATTTAGTCTAAAATCATAATAAATAAATCAGCTATAAAAGTGTGCGCGTGCGTGCGTGCGTGTGCGTGTATGTGTGTGTGTGTTTGCCTCCTTTGTCCACCTAGTTGAATTATTTACTAATATTTTGTGAATTTTCTAACTTATCTGATATGGGTCTCGTTTGTTATCCGTAATAAAGATTTATTATTATTATTAAAATAAAAGTAGCCTCTTATTAGTCACTCCTTATAACATCAACTAACTGCCATTGAAAGTCCCGTCAAAATCGGTTCAGTCATTTCGGGGATTAGCCGGAACAAACAGACAGACAAACAAAATTTGTATTTTTTTTGTTATAAGTACCGTATATACTTTCATTTGCATTTGGTAAAAAGATGTTATCTTTACATTACAAACAGACACTTCCATTTTATTTAGTTGTATGTATAGATTGCATTACCCAATTCTCATCATACTGTCATTATCTTCTATCACACTCCTAAATTATTTATCATCTTATTGACCCTTAATGCGCAAACGTAACACGCATATGGGAAACTATGTACTCCGCCCAGAAGAAGTAAATTTGCTCACAGCTAAGCAACTCCTTCAATGAGTGCATCCACGAATTTTTCTGCCACCAGGGCGGCGCCACTAGAAAGTGAGGTATAATATTTCACAGATTTCATAGCGGGGGAAGTTAATTTGTTTGGAAAATGAAAAGGTTAATGTTTCTTTCTGTACTATTAGCTATATTTTATATTAATAAGATTAAAAATAAATCACCCAAACCACAGATATTCATAAAGAATAAAAAAAATAAAAAAATAGTTAAAAATGTGCAAAATATTATAGAGCAAACCACTGAGGCTTTGTTTTGTGTATTAATATAATACTCTAGACTAGAAACTGATAAACTTTTATTAAAAACCAATTTCTCAATAAAATGACCTGGTGTAACAAAAAACTTTACCTCAGTATCAACTAGCGACATCTGGTGAGGGGAAAATTATCAGGCCTCATTCATTGAAGACATAAGGCTTAGCAGTGAACTATAGACATAGCCGCGATCACAATAGATCTTATAGGTTGCAGTGATAGTGATCCTTCTAGGCCTGCATAGCTGCTTGCACAACTAACGCAGTGACTACAGTTTTAATCTCGCAGGTCGTTGTGAAAAATGTTCGAACGAATCCGATTGACCTACAATGTTCTACACTTCTCTCATTGGATAAAAATTTCCCTTAATCACAATATGAACAGTAATTCAGCTACTCGTACACGGACTATGTGCGCCTATGTCTAACTGTCTCTCTCTCTGTCTCTGTCTTTGTGTCTTTCTGTTTTTCTCTCTCTCTCCGTTCGAGTGTGTGTGTGTGTGTGTGTGTGTGTGTGCGCGAGTACGCTTGCGTGCGTGTTTTCCGGTCTCCCTTCAGAACGGAACTGCTTATAGGCAGAAATAGGTAAAAGGATGATAGCCAGACGGACGTCTAGGCAGAAATGTAATATAAAGATGGTTACAGTAAATCTCAGACATGCAGGTTTCCTCAGGACGTTTTCCTTCACCGCCGAGCACCTGGTAAATATTTCGAAGACATGTGAAGTTCGCCAACACGCAATGGGGCAACGCTAAAACCCCCTCATAAGTGAGAGGAGGCCTGTGCCTAGCATTTGGGACGTATATAGGATGTAAGTATTTAGTAAACCACACCTCTTGGTCCTTATGAGCTCGCGTCTTGTGCATCCTGAGTCCGTACTCTCCGATGAACGACTCTCCGCAGACGTCACAGCAGTGGTTGGACGGATGCTGCAGCCTGATGTGGGTCAGGTGACTTGTTGATTTCCTGCAATGATTTCTTACGTTTACGCGACCTCTACATATTTAAATAAAACTAGTTTTTAAGCATTCATTTACGTATATCATTTTATAATCTCGACCTTTCGAGCACCCGTAGTCACGGGAGATGGGGCGTGGGGGGGGGGGGGGGGGGGAAGGGGGGAAGACAGATGTGTTCGATGTTCCATTGTCATAGTTAACCACGGATACCTTCAGATTATGTTGATTTCTTGTTAAAACCAGCCCGTTTGCCAATTAAAATAACCAGAATAACCCACAGCTGGATAAAAATGTTGGGATTTACCGTTACCAATAATAAATAGTACAATAAGGCCGCCATGATGTTTCTAAATGTTTTCATACGAATTGTAAAATTTTTTTATTAATTATTTTTAGTAATAGTCATTGTTTTTTTTTTTAATGAGGGCTATATTAATAATTTTCTGCTCACCAGATGCCGCTAGTTGACACTGAGATAAAAAATTCTGTTACACAATGTAATTTAATTGAGAAGTTGTTTTTTAATAAACGTTTATCAGTTTCTAGAGTATTATATTAATACACAAAACAATGCGTCAGTGGTTTGCTCTTAAATTTTTTACACATTTTTAACTTTTTTGTTAATATTTCTACTTTTATGGATATTTATGGTTTGGTTTGTTTATTTTTAATGTTATTAATATAAAATATAGCTAATAGTACAGAAAGAGACAATAACCTTTACATTTTCTGAACATATTAACTTCCCCGCTATGAAATCTGTCAAATAATATACCTCACTTTCTAGTGGCGCCGCCCTAGTGGCAAAAAAGTCGTGGATGACCTTATTAAAAATAACCAGAATAACCCACTGCTAGATAAAACTATTGGGACATACCGTTACCAATAATAAATAGTACAATAAGGCCGCCATGTTGTTTTCATACTAATTGCATATTTTTTTTATTAATAATTTTTGTAATACTCATTGTGTTTTTTTTTAATTCTGCTAGTTTTCTCGCTGTTTCCTCACAGAAAAGAGGTTTATTTCGAACCGAACAGGTAAAGCTTAAATGACTTCCAATAAGTATTTTTGCAATTTCTGTTGAAAACAAAAATGATTCCATTCCATTCTTGTGAAGATAACAATCAGTGACAAAAATGTCCTTACCGAATGCGCGCCCACTCGAACATTTAGGTGCGCTTTTAATTTGTACGTAGCTTTGAGAATACAACTGTAGGCAATGCATGTAAGGTTGAATTTACATTAATGTATATTTATTTCAACTAGAATAACGTCAAAACAATTGGCGACAGTTTTTAGAGAACTTTTGCATGGGATTGTGTATCTAGTTTTATATTAGTGACCGATGTCAGACGCATTCTTTATTGCAAACATTTTCAACTAATGGTTGCATGGCATTATCTACCGTGTAGTGGCGGTGTATGAATATCCACTACGCCAAATCGTCTCGTGGGTGACTAGAGGCGACAGAGGGAAACTAAACCAGAAGATGGACAGCAGCGGCAGCATCTTCCTGATTATCAAAATAATAATAATTATGCGGTTGCCAACCTGCCTGCCAAGCTTGGCAACTATGCCAAAATCCTATCTCAATACAACTAATGACAGTCAATACAGTTTTTTTTTATAGGATAGGGTGACAAACGAGCAGGCAGTACCACAGTGATGGTAAGTGGACACTGTGACCCATAGACATTTACATTTATCCTCAATAAATAATCAAAATGCAGATGCGTCGTCACCCGTGAGGACTAAGATGGAATGCCTCTTTTCCAGTAAAATGGGTCTCTGTTTCTCTACACTCACCATACGAAACACGGCAGCGTTAAGCTGCTATTTCACGCTGGTATTCTGTAAGAGCGTGGTCCTTCCCCGGTCGTGCCGACCCGTTCGTGCTACAACTATACTACTAATATAGCTGTAGCATGGCTCTACCACGTATGAAGTTAAGTTAAGTTAATAGCAAGTCCACTGCTGAACATAGGCCTGCCCCAAGAAATACCACAAGTCACGGTCCTGAGCTGCTTGCATCCATTGCCTAGCAGCTCTATATATCCTTAAGGAAAAGCTGAAGGTAGCCGGGATAATTATGACATTGGGAAATCAAATACCTCAATCCCCCCTGTGACCATGGGTGCTGTGAAACGAAAAATAACGAAAATAAGCAAAATAAGTTAAATTAAACGCAATAAAATCAGTAGAACTAGTTATGTCAAGTATATTTTATAATTTTTATTTATTAATTTAATCTTTATTGCATTCCTTAAAACAAAAGAATACCAAGGGCGGAATTAATGCCTTGAGGCATTCTCTATCAGTCAACCCATGGAGTGGTGAGAATTTGGGTATTGTGTAGATATAAAAAATATATACAATAAATAATTTAAAATTTTTGTACAACCGACTTCAATATAAATTATTAAGAACAACTCAAAAACTATTGGTTAGAACTTGATCAAATTGGTCATGGATCATATGGGACCACATGTGAAACACCAGCTTTCAAATAAAAAAAGAATCATCGAAATCGGTTCACCCAGTAAAAATTATGAGGTAACACACATAAAAAAACATACAGTCGAATTGAGTACTTCCTCCTGTTTGAAGTCGGTAGAAAATAAAATAAAACAAAATAAAAATAAATTCATGTAAATACAAGCAATCATAATCCATTAGGACTGAATATTTTAAAAAAAACATGTGTACAGTTCACACGCAGTAAATGTAAATCCTTCAGAAAGTTTCGAGAAAAATTGCTATGTAGCAGCGCCATCTATCTACTTCATTTAGGTATAGGTAAAGTTTTTTACGTGGTAGAGCCATGCTACAGCTATATTAATAGTATAGTTGTAGCACGAATGGGTCGGCTGGACCGGGGAACGACCACGCTCTCACAGAATACCAGCGTGAATGGTATGGTGAGTGCAGAGAACCGGAGACCCATTTTACTGAAAAAGAGGCACTCTATCTTAGTCCTCAAAGCTGACAACGCATTTGTATTTTAATTCGCAAACGAAGATAGATGTAGATGTCTATAGGTCACAGCAACCACATACCATCAGGTGAACTGTGTGCTCGTTTGTCACCCTAATTCTATAAATAAAAAAGTAATTTTATCGAACAAAAACGTTTTAAAAAAAAATCGATTGACTAATAATTTTATAATTAATTATAATTAATAATTAATTATAAGTATATTAATTATAAGTATATAATTTAAGTTATATTAACCATCTTTAAAGAACCGCACAAAGAGGAGACCGAGATATTAGTAAACACTGTATACTGTATTCTATCTCATTCTCTCGCAGGTTTAATCCTATAGATATATATGTTTGTCGCTTTTTAGTGCTCATACTCACGCAAAGGTGGCTCCACATATCTGGCAGTCAAATGTAAATCCGGTGTGCCATTTGCTATGCTCCCTTGCTCGGTGGCTGTAGAATACAAGAAAATAATTATCTTTATATTGTAATGTATGCTCTTGAAGGTGAAACCCGTGTTGTTAGTCACGGCGTCGCGTCGGCCAGCGCATACGCTCACGTCATCTTATCAGTCGATAATATTATTACTTATTAGTATGGTCACTTTACCTATAACCCTTATACTTCTTGTTGATTTTTGTATTACCTTTATTAGAGTTACCCTTATGTATAAATAAATATAATTACGTATGTAGAAATAAAACTGAATAAAAATAAAAACAGACATGTTTTTTTTCATCCTCATCAATCATTGGGGTGAGGATAATGTCAGCCAGCATAAGTAATAATCAGGCTAAGTTACAAGGTGCTGAGTTCAAAAATTAGTAGGTAGGTATGTTACTTTTCAATACGTGACACGTAAAAATTAACAATAATCAAAAACACATCTGCGAAACATCCTATTTATTTATTTATTCTTTATTGCACCAAATATTTGTACAAAAGGCGAGCTATCTATCTATTTACCTATAGTGAGTAGGTATCTTTTAAACTCACAATTTTCAATGCTTGATTTTTAATATATAATTAATTATAAAATTTCATAATTAGATAATACGAGGGCTGCACTAAAAGTATCGGGAATGGAATATTTCCACTGTTCCTGTCATATTAAAATCTTTTTAATTGAAAAGTCCTTGGTTTTAAAAATCGAATACCATTTATTTATTTAAAAAAAGATTCTCGGTCTTGTCACAAGGTTTTGTCAAACTTGTTTAGTCGTTGAGAAAATGGAATTGACTCGAGAAAATTCAAGAGCGACGATTTATTATGACTTTCGAAGTGGTTTAACACAAAAACAGTGTGTTGACCGGATGATTTCTGCATTTGGTGATGAAGCCCCATCCAAAACCACAATTTATCGCTGGTTTGCTAAATTTCAACGTGGACGTGTCAAGCTCAGTGATGATCCCCGTCAAGGTCATCTAAAAACTGCAGTCACCCAAGAAAACGTTGATGCTGTGCGTAAGCTGATTGAGGAAGATCGACATGTGACATACCGCGAAATTGAGGCAACTTTAGACATTGGCATGAGTCAAATACAAATAATCTTGCATGAACAATTAGGTGTAAAAAAGTTGTTTTCCCGATGGATACCGCATTCGCTCTGTGAAGAGCAAAAAGCGGCTCACGTTACTTGGTGCGTCAGAACTCTCGAAAGATTCCACGCAGGATCCTAAAATGCTGTATACAACATCGTATCAGGTGACTAATCCTGGATATACGCGTACGAACCCGAAACAAAAAACTAGTCACGAGTTTGGGTGTTCGAAAATGAGTTAAAGCCAACAAAAATTGTTCGTTCACGGAGTGTTGCAAAAAAAATGGTGGCCACGTTTGTCTCCAAAACCGGCCATGTTACGACTATTCCTCTTGAGGGACAAAGAAACCGGTAATGCAGAATGGTATGCTAGCATTTGTTTGCCACAGGTCGTTTTTGAACTCCGTAAAGAGAACTGCAACCGCCGCATCATCCTCCATCACGACAATGCGAGTTCTCACACCGCACACAGAACAAAAGAGTTTTTAGAGCAAGAAAACATAGAATTATTAGTCCATCCGCCGTACAGCCCCGACCTAAGCCCTAATGATTTCTATACTTTCCCTAAAATAAAGAATAAATTGCGTGGACAGAGATTTTCATCACCTGAAGAAGCTGTGAACGCCTACAAAACGGCCATTTTGGAGACCCCAACTTCCGAATGGAATGGTTGCTACAATGATTGGTTCCATCGTATGGAAAAATGTGTCAAATTTCGCGGAGAATACTTCGAAAAGCAATAAATACATTTTTAAATAGTAATGTTGTGTCACTTCCTTCATTCCCGAAATTTTCAGTGCCGCCCTCGTATACGTGGTAGAGCAATGCTGCAGCTATATTTGTAGCACGAATGTATCAGCTCGACCAGGGAAGGACCACGCTCTCATAGAATACCAGCGTAAAATAGCAACTTGACACTGCTGTGTTTCGTATGGTGAGTGTAGAGAACCGGAGACCCTCTTTACTAGAAAAGGGGCATTCCATCTTAGTCCTCACGGCTGACAACACATCTGCATTTTGATTCTTTATCGAAGATAGATGTAGATGTCTATGGGTCACAGCGACCAGTTACCATCAGGAGGACTGTGTGCTCCTTTGTTATCTCATAAAAAAACGGTAAGTAGGGTAGATGGTAATTACTAATAACAAAGACATATCAAATAGTGTAGATCAGCGATTCCTAAAGTGGATTCCGTAGAAAACTCACCAGGGTTCCGCGAAATTATTTTTAATTGCGCATACAACTCACAGACATAAACCGAATATAAAGCAACTATTGATGAAACAGTGAAACGTTAAAGTAAAGAATGAAGTGTTTTACTTTTAAAATATTTCTAATATAAGTTTTTGTTCTTATTTAAATTACAGTGTATTCGATTTGAAATCATTTGATATGGGGTTCCATAAAAAAAGGTATTTGGTGGATGTTCCGTTATCTTAAAAGTTTAGGAACCCCTGGCGTAGATGGTTAGGTTAGGTTAGGTTAGGTTTGCGAATGGACATTTAATAATCGAGAATGTTTTATTTTACACGTATTATGTAAACCCGCTGCGTGGTGTAAGAACTTTCGGATTATTGACGTATTATATATTTATTATTACTGGCTGTTCCCCGCGACTTTGCTCGCATGTTATTTGGGGTTTTAATTTTTTTGCCCGGAACCCGACTTCTGTTTTTAAAATAAAAGCAGCCTAAGTTACTCCTTACGAATCAGCTATCTGCCAGTGAAAGACCCGTCAAAATCGGTCCAATTGTTTCGGAGATTAGACGGAACAAACGGACAGACAGACAAACAAAATTTTTGATATTTTTTTTTTGGTATAGGTATACTGGGTGGCGCCTAGGTTATCACGTTAAATAGCACAGCAGTTAATACAAGTTGATATATGCATGTTAAAATAATAAAATAAACAATATTAAAAGAAAATAAAAAATGCATTTTTCAAACAAAATAAATAGCGTAAAAATTGACAAGAAATAAATCACCTTGTTAATATTAGTTTACTGACCCCAAGCGACCTGTAAAAGCGGCAACGTCGCTATGTTTCGACACTTCGTCCCATTTCTTGTCACTTCGCGCATAGAGAATTATGCCTTAAGTCTTTTACTTTAAGTAAATTTTTCGCTTGAATTTGTTTTCACACACCCGCATGGCACGGTCCCTTTGTTTTTGATTTCGCGCGATTTATAAAATTATGCCTTAAGTTGTTAGCCGTAAGTACATTTTTTCTTTATTTGAGTAATTCAAATTGGCAACGTTTAAACTACGTATATCGCCTTCAAATGCCATGGATCTTTGACCTTCTAGTATTCATCAGGTGATATCTGTATGCATTTACATGATGTTATTTAATATTAAAACGAAAAAAATGCTACCGCGACTAAAATATTAATTGTTATATATTTTTTTAGTTGTGTATGCTTAAAGAAATATATGTAGGATACGTCTTTTCATTTAATGTGATAACTTTATCGTCACTCGGTATACTTTCATATGCAAAATTGTTCCTGCGATTTCGGAGATTAGCCAGAACAAACAGACAGTTAGACGGACAAAAATTAAAAAAAATTGTGGTTTTGTTACAACAATAAAAAATAAATAAAATTGAAGTGTCTGTTTGTAATGTTAAAATAACAGCTTTTTATTAAATGCATATGAAAATACGGTATTTTAATACGGTACTTGTAACAAAAACACAATATTTTAATTTTTGTCTGTCTGTCTATTCGTTCCTGAAATCACAGGACCAATTTATACGGGACTTTCACTGGCAGATAAGGAGTAACTTAGGGTGCTTTTATTTTATAAAAAGTATTGGGGTTCCACCCAAAAAAATACCCCAAAATTACACACGGGCGAAGTCGCGAGATACAGCTAGTTGAATATAAAAGCGGTCGCAGGCAATCGAAGAATTAAGTATTGTGGAAATGCGATAGTGAACCCTACTCCGCGACTAGTGTGTGCGCGTGTGTGTAGAGACACATATGTATGTATTAGTAGCGGCACGAAAGTCTAGCGGTGACGTCGCGCTGATAGCCTTATCGCGCATAAGTCGGGCTGATTGGCTCGTGCGTATCGTTCGCACGCGCTGATTAGCTCTCCAATCGCATTCGTGCAATTCAATTCGTGCGCGTCCCCTCCACGTTTCGTTCAGCGCTAGACTTCCGTGCCGTGACTTGTATGCGTGTGTGTCGAAACAATGCTTCCAGTTGTAGTTTAATACCCAACAATAACAATATTCTATACCGACCTCGACCTGGAGACGTGGTCGCAGAGCTTGCAGATGTACTTCCTCTCGTGCGACGACACTATGTGCCATCGGAGCAACCGCGGTTCCGGCCAGCGACCCCAGCACACGTCGCATTCGTATTCACCCCTCTTCTGTAAAATTGTACAGATAATAATTATATTTATTGGGTAATAAGGAGATTGTAAATTGCTAGTGTTATAGTTGAGACCTACTTTTAAAACTTAGTTAATTAGTTGAAGTAGTCTTCGTTAACTATGACGTCAGGGTATCAAACATCTCTGTCTCACCCCGTGAAAATTAAAAATAAACACGATAAAATCCATAAAATTAGTTTCATTTAATAAACAGACTATATTTTTTCTAGAATACCAAAGACTGCAAATTATTGCAAATAAATTGGCTACAAAAGCACAGAAAAACTTATGTTGAACACATAGGATGAGACATAAAAAATATTTTATACACACACACACACACATACACACATTTCCAAATAATTTTAAACTTATTTAGGGTATAATAACATGTAATTTTATGTTTCAAAATTTTTTTGTATGGCTATGGAAGAGTGGGAGTCGCTGACTTCCAAAGTCACACTGAGATATGAAGTGCCTACACATTGAATAAAACAATTTTGAGTACGCAGTATTCTCGTAATTGTAAGATATCATTATCTACAAATCTAGAAAAAGAAAAAATTATAAACTTACCGGATCATGCTTGAGCATGTGATTTTTAAGTGTTGACTCGGTCATGAAACCCTTGTAACAATGTTCACATTTGTAAAAGGAATTTATGTAGTTTGCTGACGTCTTCCTTGCTTGAACCTCCTCTATTTGTTGCTCCTTGGTTAATATAACCACTTCTATATCCTTCATCCCTTCTAGATCCTCTTGACCATCACTGTCATCTAGCAGGGCTGGCTGATCTGGTTCTTCATTATCAAAGTCAACAGTTTCAATTTCATTTTCGAATTTAACGTCAAGTTCTTCATTCTCTTTCTCTCTCTTGATTCTTCTATACGGTTTTATTATCTCTGCGGACGATTCTGTTATATTCTCAATTTTAAATTCGACTAATGTGCTGCTTGACTCGACTACTTCTTCTTTTATCATAAGGTCAGAGTCATCATTATTATCTTCAGGGACTTCATCACATTCCCTGGTAATCACGGTGCAGAACGGTAGTGTTAGTTGTAACTCTTTTCTGATTGATTCCAGGTAGTCTAGAGACAGCTGTAACAGAGGTTGTGATGAAAATAACATAACATAAACTCTTAATTAATAGAATGAGGTGTTACTTTGCAGAAATTCATTATATTAAAGATGTTTAAAAATTAAAAATTAACTAACTAAGATACGCATGAAAAAAAAACTAACTTAGTGTACAATGTATTAGTACTATAGTACCAGTCTAATAACATACATATATAAGTATTGGTATAGAATTATAATCATCATTTCATCATCATCATTACAGCCTTTCACAAGTCCACTGCTGAACATAGGCCTCCCCCAAGGAATGCCACAAAGCATGGTCCTGACCCACCTGCATCCATCGACTTCCTGCATGTCTTACCAGGTCGTCACTCCATCTCGTGGGGGGTCACCCTACACTTCGCCTACCAGTACGAGGCTGCCACTCGAGAACCTTTCTTCCCCATCGGTTGTCGGTTCTTCGAGCTATATGGCCAGCCCACTGCCACTTCAGCTTACTAATCCGTTGGGCTATGTCGGTTACTCTGGTTCTACTGCGGATATCCTCATTTCTAAGTTTATCACGCAGAGAAACTCCGAGCATAGCCCTCTCCATAGCTCGCTGAGTGACCTTGAGCTTCCTTATACGGCCAGCAGTGAAGGACCACGTCTCAGTTCATCTGAGAGTGAGTGTCATCACTGACTACACACACTGGTGCAATCTGGTGAAAACACAACCAGTGTGTGTTGCCAGTGATAGAATTATAATGTTATTAAAAAAATTCTATATATCTACCACATTGTGTTCCATCAACGAGAACTTGAGCAGTTCCTCAGAGTTGCAGCATTTCTCCTTGAATGCTACGGACTTGAGCAGCAGAGCACTACAGTAACTGCAAATATGGGATGGAAGACCGTCGGACTCTGATATCTGAAACATTTAATGTCTTTTAACATATATGCCTTCAGGTTGACTGATGGAGAATGTCATAAGGCCTTAAATCTGGGCCAAAGAGTATTTAAATCAAAACATTGGCAATGTTTTGCAATCCATTTTAAAAATGAATATTTAATAAAGAATATCTTTATGCTTAATATAAAATCAAATCAAATCAAATCAAATAACACAATTTGAATTGATTTGATTTGATTTGAATTTGAATTTGAACAAGATTTCTAACACAAGTATTTATTTACTTAAAAGAAATCCTCAATCATAACAGTGCTATGTAAAAACTCTGATACTGAATAAATTATTTGATTTGATTTGATAATATAAAATATACTTAATTGATTTTAATATTACATTACAGCTGTACACACGTTTACAGGTTACCCACTATTAAATAGGACACGGAACAAAGTTAAATTTAACATTATAAATAAACAAAATGAGAAAAAAAAAACATATACAAACTTCTATTCCGGTAAGAATTCTTAAAGGTTCCGCTAATCTGTATTTAAAAAAATTATATAACTTAATGTCTGAAGACAGACATATCCGACATGCTAAGAGTTCCCCCATTTCACCAAAAATATATTTCGCCTCTAATATAGCAGCTTTTTAAAATTTAAACAAATTCGGATAGAAATGGGGAAAAGCTATGTTTACAAATTTAAATGTACAGAGCAACAAAATAATAGATAGACACCAGAGTAGTATATTTATTTGAAATTACACTACATCTACAACATGGTGGCCATCTTTATTCTAGTGATGTTATAAGAAAACTATAGCAGCGATGTGTTAATATTATGTAGGTAGCGTATTATGCTCAAAAGTTACGTTTTGTTAAACTAACGCTTAATACAGTAGGTATATTTCTTAATATATTATATCACAGTATTCTAGATTATATAATATGACTTATTGAAAAAAACATTTTCAAATTTTGCTGTTTTATCCGTTTCCTATTAATGTCTTTTCTAATTATAATATAGTGTGAAATCTATACAGTTCTTATTATATACTACGTAATTTCTACTAATATCATAATTATTACATAATTTTACTATACACTCATTATTCTTTAAATATTCAAAGGCTTTAGGTGCTCAACGTGGTATTTTAAAGTGTTACCTAACATATCTTATAGAAATAAGACTATAATAAAACAGTTATATACGTCTTTCAGCTGGGCACAGGTCTGCTCTTATTTCCTAGAGTTTTTATTTAAATAATATTAGGAGATATATAATTTTTACAAAGATTAAGATTTTAAAATATTACCATAATTATCACAAGCCCATTTCTGATCACATGTATTTCTTAGAAAAAATCTGCTACATAATTTATATAATGGTTTTGACACCAACTATATACTACAGGTATGATTTGAAATTTGTAATTTCCATTGAGTTGTAATGAGTCTTTTCATTCCCCACTTAGTTTTTGGCGCAATTGCGGAATATATTTTTTCAATTTCTACCCGATCACCATGTATAAATTATTAGTGGCATAACCACTATATGCACTTCTACCTCTACATTTACATTCTATTACAAGGCGCCTACACAGAACATGTCAGCACAATGCTAGCTCGAGAACCGTTCCCATTGATTGTTCGAACTTTGAGCTATATAGTTTGCCCATGGCACTTTCATAGAAAAAATAACTGGTTAATTCGTCGCTATCCATCCTATTCTATGCCAAAACTTATTTTTGCCTTACAGGAACATGCATTACTTATCGTTCTGAGAGAACGTACCAAACGTATTAAGTTAGTATTAAACCAATTTATAACGAAATCGACGACTCTTGCATCGATTATTTTAATAGAAAGCTTCTTTGTAGTATATCAATTCGTCATGGAAAAATAGAGTCTAAAGTTTTTCGGGAAGTTCTGTTATAATTGCTATGCTATAATTGTATTTATTGATCACAGGTAAAATAAGTACAACAGATAGCGTTTGGTTTGGGAAGCCCCTGTTGACTTAGACGTTTTCTTTTTCTAAACCTGTTGTTGTCTAGTTTAAAATTATTTCATACTATATGCCCAGCGTAGTCAAACTCTACCTTTTTTTCGTATTGGTATTGCATTGAAAACTAGCAATTAAAACTTAGTGATTATTGAAATACTATTTGGTAACGACATCAGTTTCTTGATGATCAACTATTTTTCGTAGTTACTTACATAAAATATCAAAAAATTACTTTAATACCAACCTAAAACAGATCAAAGATAAATTATATAGTTATGTGATTTTACGCGAATCGTTCTGATTCGACGGGTTATTGTGAATGTTGTTTCAGATCAATCTAAAATCAATTCCTTAACTTCAAATAATCAATTTTTCAATTACTCCATGTCAGATCGATATCTCTAATTATTTTTTGTTCTAGTTCCTACTTATTATTTCATTAAAAATTCGGATCAACATTATGACTTTGTCCAACCCGTAAATAATACAAAAAATTGTTGATAATTATGTAATCGCGTTATACTACACAACGTTATTATTCTAAAACTGAAAATTTATAATACATATAGAAATCTATGAAACCTGTGCACCTGTGTAATATCTAGCATAGATAAGAGATTATTTCGTTTGTTTTTGTAAAGGTAACAATACATTTTAAAATTTATAATTGACCGTAAGGACTTTGTTTAGTCATTCTCTAAGGCAATTCACGTATATTCTAAAAGTATTATATATGAGTATTAAATTTACACAATATTAAGTCTACGTTCTAGTTGCTAGACTTTACAAGTTATTTATTATTTATTTACTAACTGATTTTAACATAATAATTAATATGCTTTTAAAATAAACATGTGTTATACGACAAAGTTGAAAATTATCTACTTTTCACTTACCAATCCGCCTGCCCAGCGTGGTGAGCACGACCTAGTCTTAGTAGTGATGCTAACACTAGACTTGCAAGCAGATTATTTGAAGAGAAGAAACATGCTTGCTGTAACTTTTTTAAGGTAATAGAATTAAGTCATCACAATAATATTTTAAAGTAGCGTGCGTGAATTCAGCATTTACAAGTATTACTACTATTTTTTATTTTATTTTTTATTTTAAAAAACGTTACCCCCACACTAGGATTTTCTCCTGTGTCGTGGAGGCAATTCACAAACATAAATTGCACAACAAACATCCAGACCCGGAACAATTATTTGTAGGCCATACTTGTTCCGTGCGGGATTCGAACCCGCTAAGCGCCACGGAGCCATCATTTTATATCGATACAATGCTGTCTAACATATTAAATCGATTTTTTCCATGACTACAGACACATCACTATTCCTGTACGCAGTTACACAACACACGCGTCCACAGATACTGTCATGGCGGTGGTTTTTGCATAGAAAAATAAGATCATTTCATATCAGAAGCCCCAAGGTGATAAGTTAGTAATCTGTGCCTTTATTTAATCCTGAAAATGTTCTATTGCTCATTCGTCAGCATTCATTATATTATCTGTGAATGTGGTGATACATTTCCAACTGAAGAAGCATTGAAGGAGCATTTGGAAAAAGAGCATAATCACAAAGTTGAAAAACATGAAGAATTCAGATGTGATACAGTAAGTTATTGATATGTTGTAGTAGTGCCCATGTTTTGTGATTTGCAAAACTCTAATCTGTGCTCTGTGCTTAGGAGTGGCTTTTTATAGCTGTGGAGCACAGACTATTATTAAATTTAATAAGTTTGTATGTGCGGCGAGAAAATAATTAAATATTTTTGATAATTACAATTTGTGATATTGACGGTAAAATATTATGTTACTTCGCGATATGTTCAGACAAGTGCAGTATTGGGATTTTGAAACGAGGTAGGGTGTTCTGTTGTGGCCAAATTATTGTTTTTCGAATATATTATTTTTGTTGAACCTGTTGCGATGTAAGGGAATCTGCTACCCCTTATCCGTGGGAGTCGTGAAAGGTGATAGAGGGAAACTGAAATAGGATATAGGCAGCAGTATCTTCATGATAACAGCCCAGCTCAGTTATATAATAAAAATTTGCAGATGATATAAAAGTTGCAGTTGCCATCAAAGTCCAAGTTGCATGCTTGCCAAGCCTGGCAACTATGACGCAATTTATGGGGGAGACCCATGTGCAGCTGTCGACTTGTGATGGGCTGTAGTCTTTATTGATTTTTAAATAAAGAAAGAACATATTTATTAGGAAAAAGATTTTACAAACAAAAAAAAAAATGCTTAAAATAATAAGAAAAAAGTATGGACTACTATACTCAGTTTTATGCTACAGTAATTAGGGACTTGAAACATTACTGAAAATATCATTATGTGTAGTTCCAGTAACATTACTTTGTACCGTTCCACTAGGATCGTAACAAAATTAATTCCTTGGTTATAACGATACTAACAAATAGAATGAAATCTACAACTATTTAATAACAATGTTCAAAAATCGTTATTAACCTGTCAAAGATTATGACATGTATGTTACATATTTTATATAATATGCAATGTGCACTCTCTCTAATGAAATTAATGGTAATGCTTGAATATGGCTTGTACGGGGTGCGATAATGGAGCAGTAGTGCAGTGTACAAGTGACAGTAACATTTCAGCTGTAACGGTATTATAAACGGATATAGGCATAACGTCACTGATACCTATATGTAACACAACAAAAACTATTGTTCTACGAAAATGATATTCTTTTAACGTTATTGATAATTGTAACGTTATAAGATAACATTTAGTGCAACTAAACCAAATTCATTTAGATTTCATGTACCTGACAGTAATGTATAATGCAGTTACCTCAGCACTGATATTCTGTAAAATTTTTGCTATGTATCAGTTACAGAGCATAACATTGGAATCGCTATATTTTGAACTAAGTCTTTCTTACTTTCTTGACTCAAATCTAATGCTAGCCTTCCATGTACAAACAAAATAATTAAAAATTAAAAATTTTGTACAATCAACTTCTAAATAATTTATATCGAATAAATTATTAAGAATAATCCAAAAACTATTAGTCAGACCTTGATCAAACTTATATGGGACCACATGAGCTTTCAAATAAAAAAACTAATCATCGAAATTGCTTCACCCAGAGATTAGTTATGAGGTAACACACATAAAAAAAAGAAAGAACATACAGTCTAATTGAGTACCTGCTCCTTTTTGAAGTCAGTAGAAAAAGGCGATCTTAAAAGATTTTTTACAGGGTGACAAATAAACACACAGTCCACCTGATGGTAAGTGGATGCTGTGACCCATATATATCTACATTTATCATTAATTAAAAATCAAAATGCAGATGTAAAAAGCTATACCAGAAATAGTAATAATAATAATGTCCTCCAGACTGAATTTAGGTCACGACGGCCAGTCTCAACGGAGACTAGCCTTCGGCGCAGGACAGGATTATAGTGCCCAAGTGCATGCGCAAGCACAGGTGCACACTCTATTCCCTCACTCTCAAAGTCCGATGGGACGGTAAACCGACACGACCGGAGAGAGATCAGGCGCAGGACCAACGGCTTTACGTGCTTTCCGAGGCACGGGGGTGAGACACCATCAACTTCCTGACT